AACAAATACATGTCCTGCACAAGTTCCCAAATGGCTCACCGACAAAGCCAATTGGGAAAAGTTTCAAAAAATGACTTTATTATCTTGGACTGACATGGCGGCATTGAGCATAGAGGATGCTGTATGCTACTTCACAGCTTTCTTGGTTGATGCAGCAACAAAATGTATTCCCCAAACATGTGGACCGTCAAGCAAACGATGAGTACCATGGTGGAATAATGAGTGCCGTGATGCTCGAAAAAAACAAAATAAGGCATGGAGGTTGCATAGATACTCGCCCACAGCCGAGAATCTTGTAAACTTTAAAAACGTCAAGTCGCAAGCAAGGAGGACGTGCCGACAGGCGAAAAGAGAAAGTTGGCACAAATTTGTGTCGGGCATTAACTCATACACAGATGAGTCGAGAGTCTGGAGTATGGTTGGTAAGGTGGCAGGACGAGGAGCACATTCTCTTCCTCTAGTGAACACCCAAGGGGAGAGTTTGGAAGACCAGGCAAACACTCTCGGAGCACACTTTGAACAGGTCTCCAGCTCAACACACTATAGTGAAGCGTTCCGACGATACAAAACCGCAATAGAAAAACAGAGATTAGAGCGCAAGCCCAGAACACATGAGGCATACAACGAACCTTTCTGTTTGGCTGAACTGCAGGCCTCACTTGCCTGCTGCAATAAATCTGCCCCAGGTCCGGACCGTGTGGCATATGAAATGTTGAAACACCTGCCCACTGAAATCCAGAAAGCTCTCTTCTCTCTCTATAATGCGATATGGTCTTCTGGCGAGCTACCCTCAGCCTGGAAGGAAGCTATCATTATCCCGATTCTAAAACAAGGCAAGGACCCGGCCTCAGTTTCCAGCTACAGGCCAATAGCATTAACCAGCTGTATTTGCAAAGTCTTTGAAAAAATGATTAACAGGCGCCTGATGCACTTCCTTGAAATTAGTGGCCTACTTGACCCATACCAGTGTGGGTTTCGAGAGGCTCGGTCCACCACTGACCACCTTGTCCTCATCGAAGCACAAATTCGCGATGCTTTTGTTCATAAGCAATTTTTTCTGTCTGTGTTCCTCGATATGGAAAAGGCATATGACACTGCATGGCGCTTCGGCATATTGCGAGACCTGTCACATTTAGGTGTGCGGGGTAGAATGCTGACAGTTATCGAAAGCTACCTGTCCAACCGTTCATTCCGTGTCCAAGTTGGCACTGTCTTATCTCGAGTATTTGTCCAAGAAACAGGAGTGCCACAAGGAGGTGTATTGAGCTGCACACTTTTCATAGTTAAAATGAATTCCTTGCACCTGTCTCTCCCACGAAATATTTTTTACTGCATATATGTCGATGATGTGCAGATTGGTTACAAATCGTGCAACATCTCAATGTGCCAACGTCAAGTTCAACTAGGGTTGAACAAGGTATCTCAATGGGCAAACGAGAATGGTTTTATACTCAACGCGCAAAAGAGCACTTCTGTCTTGTTCAGCCGAAAGAGGGGCCTTCATCCTGACCCCGGCATTGACCTGCATGGTCAACCTCTGTCAGTGAAGACCGAGCACAAGTTTCTTGGTCTCATATTAGACACTAAGCTAACCTTCATCCCACACATCAAGTATTTAAGGGACAGGTGCTTAAAAACAATGAACATTTTGAAAGTGTTGTCACGCACTACATGGGGTAGCGACAGGAAATGTTTAATTAACTTATATAAAAGCCTCGTACGCACACGCCTAGATTACGGTGCTATAATTTATCAGTCGGCAACACCATCAGCCTTGAAAATTCTCGACCCTGTCCACCATCAAGGCATTCGCCTCTCTATGGGTGCTTTCCGCACCAGCCCTGTGGAGAGCCTGTACGTGGATTCGAATGAATGGTCGCTCCACCTACAAAGATGTTCCCTGTCCTTTTTGTACTTTTTGAAGGTGAAGGCAGACAAGAAACACCCTTACCATTTCATAATTAATGATTTGTCTTGTTCTGGCTTGTTCGAGAACCGTCCTTCGTTTAGGCAGCCCTACGCGCTGCGTGTAAGGAGCCTGGCCGAAGAAACAGGTGTGCCTCTTCTTGAACGCAGTTTGATGGCTCCTGCAACATATCTGCCACCGTGGCAGTGGCAGCTTATAGACTGTGATATCTCTTTTGTTGATGTCACAAAGCACGCACCACTTGCACACATACATACATACTTCCTAGAACTACAACATAAATACACATGCCCTGAGTTCTTTACCGATGCGTCAAAGTCAAACACTTCTGTGTCATATGCAGCGGTAGGCCAATCCTTTTCCGAGGCTGGCGTTCTTCATCCTAATGCAAGCATTTTCACAGGAGAAGCTTACGCAATACTGGCGGTCGTAAAACACATTAAACAGATAAAATTACAAAAGGCGGTAATATACACAGATTCCCTAAGCGTAATCAAAGCCCTGAAAACTCCTAAAAAACACAAGAACCCCGTGCTGGTGTCACTCTACTCACTTCTGTGCACACTCTACACATCAAAACAGCATGTCGTTGTCTGCTGGGTTCCAGGGCACCGTGAAATACAAGGAAACGTTTTGGTTGACAATCTGGCTGCTTGCGCCAATGTCACTACTGCCAATGCATCAACACCAGTCCCTGCACTTGACTTAAAACCTTTTATAAAACGAAAGCTCAGGGAGTATTGGCAGAGGATGTGGGATAAACACACAGATAATAAACTCCATGCTATTAAACCGCAACTAGGTTATTGGCCGCCACTATCAAAATCACGACACACAGAAGTAATACTAACAAGGCTTAGAACAGGACACACACATTCCACACACTCATTTCTTCTGTCTTCCGGTGATCCACCATATTGTGAGAGATGTGGAGACCCCCTTACGGTTCTCCACATTCTCGTCCAGTGCAATGAGCTAGATGCTCTAAGAAAAAAGCACTTTTTACTGCCCTACCGACAGCAGCTCCCTCTACACCCTGGGATGCTCATCGGTAGGGATCCACTTTTTAAACTGCAAACACTTTTTACGTTTTTAAAAGATGTGCAAAGCTTTCACCCGATATTTCGAGGTCACCCGTAGCACGACCTCTATAGTGTGATCGTGGCTGCGGTGACTATATCTTCATCATGGTTTTATTATCATGACATTTTGCCATCAGCTATCACCACACATATGTCACCCCACTGTCATAATTTTATTACTTTCATGTTTTAACCCGCGTTAGAGCGAGGAATTTTAAGGCCCCTTTACAGCCACGCACCATATCATTGTTCATATCTGTAGTCAATTGAAATGGCGCTCTTTGGCCATCAATTGGCCCTTGCGCCACTAAAATCTACTCATCATCATCATCATCATAGGTTAAGGGGAGATGCGATTCAAAGAAAAAGTTGCGTTTATCTGTAACCTAGGGCAATGAAATATTTGCTGTATATGTATATACGCTTCTTTGCTGATTTTAAATACGTAATTAGTTTCATAGTAAGTTGTACAGTTTTAGTTTTATGCCATGACAATGCGTAAAGTATAGCTCTTTTTGGAAAAACTTTTTCTGCCACTAAATGTTTATGTTTCTGAGCCATTAATGACTCATATTGCTCCACATTAATTATGGAATGGAAATAACCATGAAGAAAGTCTGTATAAGACATTTGAATGGACAAGAACAATTGTAATGCGAGAATCCTTAGAATCCTCGGCCTATATAACTGTTTACTTTAGGTTTGAAGTTTTAAAGCAGATACTTGCACCCTTCACCTGTTAAGGAATATGTGTGCAAAATTTTGTCCTGATTGGGCTATTAGAAGTACTAAAACCAGGATTTACAAACTCGGGAAGTTGCCCACAAATTAATATTGAGAAAAACGCATTTCGAAGGTATAAGTGAACTCTCATCTATGCATAAAAAATATATTTTTTAAGATGATTTCTTTCATCATGGGAGCTTGGGGATTACGGCTATTTTGAGCATATGTGATTTTAGTGATCTCCTCATGCAAAATGTAATGGCAAGTAGCCAGGTGACAATTTCCAGGGGACTCTAGACAATGAGTTTCAGTTTTTTAGTTGCCAACTTGTGCTCTTTAAAAGCAATTTGAACCTACTACGAGTTTAATTACAATTTTCATCTTTTTTTTATGAAAGTAGAGAAGCTGAACTTGTGAAAGCAAATGAAAACAAAAAAAGAATATGTAATTTCGGAAAAAGCTTCTGTTCTTGACTCGCATCCCCCCTTAACATGTTTCCTTGTCCAGCATGAGGCCTGTATTGGGTTATTTTGCAAAGGAGTCACAAGCACTGGCATAGCTCAGTCATTCGAGACAATGAAGTTTCAGCCAGAATGGTATGCTGTGTTGGTGAGGTGTTTATCCCTACCCCCATTCAAGGGTATCTTTGCAAAAAGTCGTTGTTAGATGTATTCGTTCTAGAGATGGTGAACTCTTTGGGGGTTGTGCACTCACCATTGTGTCGTAATAGAAGAAGAATTAACATATGAGTTCCTTGTGTGTATTTGCATCACAGCCATGTTTAAGTTGAATAAATACGATGAAATTAAAAAAACCATGCATGGCTTTATAGTGAAATACCACAGTGGCACGCAGAAGGCGTGGGTTCAAATCCCGTCCTATCCTAGGTATTGTTTCTTCATTCGTGCCATACTGGTTATGGACAATGGCGGCAGCGGCGAACAACTGCACGACGAAAACTGGCTGGTACTCTGATCTCATTACAGCTTCTGCAGTCAAAGCGATGTGGGGCACAAGGCTCCTTTAACTAGTCGAAAGATGCGTCACGTGTTTTCTACTTTCCAGTACTGTCTTGTTCGCACTGAGGTATATGGTGAAGTTACTTGTACGTCTTTGTGTGCGTTTGTGGAGGGACGGTAGTTACGGTCTGTGCATTGCAGAACACAGTGCTATCAGCTGATTGAAGATTTGAGCAGGCTGTCGCTATCATGTTGGAGAATTATGGTGCGTTTGCAGTATTGGAGAATGAGAGCTGAAGCAAAGCGTTTAGTTGCACTAGAATCCATTGCTTTATTGTTTCCTTATAAGTTACCAAAATAGTGCCGAATTGTGTTGGTTTGCTGTCGTGGCTCCATTTTTTACTTCATTTTTGAAAAGGCCAGGGACACACTATTAGTCACTGTAAAAAAAAAAGGAAATATGCATTTTTTATTATCCCTCTTTAATTAAATAAACACAGAGAAGAGCACCACAATAAGTTATTTTATCATAAAATATTTGGCTACTGATAATAATAATAATAATAATAATAATAATAATAATAATAATAATAATAATAATAATAGTGCATTGGGCGACTACACGTAAAATTAGACACGACAAAATAATGGGCACACTTTAACAGTTACACAAGTTTATAAAGTAGGCTGGTGAGAATGAGCATGTGCATTCATCGACGACGACTGAGCAGTGCAACATCTACAATGTAAAGATCAAGCATTTAACTCTGTTGTAATTGTGCCTCTGCATATTTGACTATTAATATTAAAACAAATGATGTGAATGAAATTCGGCGTAACGAATGGGCATCAATTTATTCTTATTGTCGACATCAGCAACAAGAGTTATGATGGCACTCACTGCTTACTGGCTGCTGGAACTGGCGGCAGACCTGGACAAGGGAAAGATAAAAGAAGCAATGTTTAATATTTTTCTTATGTAGGCATGAAAAGGCACCTTAATAATTGATTAGGCACAGGCAGTACAATGAATTCTTGAAAGGAGTAACTGTTTCAAAATGAGGCCCATGTACTTTGATTTAGTTGCACGTTGAAAAACCCCAGGTGGTCAAAATTCCTAGAGCCCTCCTCCACGGCATCCCTCATGATCGTATCATGATTTTGGGACGTTACATCCCAACAGTTATATAGTAGTATTAAAGATAGCAACTTTGAAGATAAATAATCTATCTCAAGTTGGCATGTCACATGGCAGTTGTCATCTTATAAAACAGAATGTTCTCATCTATGGTGCACACCTGGACAGGTTTTCGTACCATGAAATTTTAGTCTACCCTCTAGTGTTGCATACTAATGGTAATGTTGATCGAAACGAAGAACGGTGCTCAGGACGTTAGGGGTAGTTCGCACCGAGAATCGCAGTAAAGACACCAGACAGCTGCGGAGCGTGTGTTGGGACTTCTGCAATTCCGTTTTGTAATTTTTTAGTGCGACATCTTGCTCTTTGTGCTCACCAATTAGTCATGAGTTCACCGAGCCAGAAGTAGAGTATGCGCATTAAGGAGGATAATGAGACTCCCAATGGCTCGCAGAATGTGTTTAGTGTTCATTGAACTAGCACTGTAACAAACGATGCATCATTGAGGCTGTAGTATGTGTGGCACAAGTAACAGAAAAATACTTTTTAGGCATGAATTGCACATGAGAGTTTCTTGCTCGCTTTATAAACTGCACGGTGTTCTTTTTCTTAGCTCATGATGGGCGCGCGCTACTCTTTAATTTTACAATGCCTATTCTTTGTTGTGTCACATATACTGCATTTCTTCACATTTAGAACATCAGAGCCTTCCTTGTGTATGTGTTCATACAGATTGCTGTACTGCAAGACATGTTTTGCTATACTGCAAGACAGGGCTGAAAAAAAAAAAAAAAAAACTTATGGCAGTTCATAATTCAACACACTCTTACCTTGCTGAAGATGCACTAGTAGCGACACGGGACTGCCGTGCACCAGAACGGGCGCCTCTTTGTCCAAATCCAGCTACACCGTTTCCTTGGACACCCCAGCCCCAGGTTGAGGGGCCATAGTAGCCGAAGCTTGGTCCGTAGAAGCCGTCGAAACCTCCAAAGCCATAGTCACCAAAGCCATAGTCGCCACCCCAGTAGGGCATCTGGTATCCGTAATGTCCAGGATAATAGTATCCGCCGTAGCTTCCTGGGAAACCGTATCCGAAACCACCAACTCCTCCTGGGAAATATCCGGAGACACCACCAGCAGGTCTAGCACCAAGTCTACCAGAGACTGGAGAACTGGCACTGCTAGATGACCCTGAGAGTCCAGGTAGGGCAGATGAGGTCAAGCCGCCTGCGATGCTGCCTCCCACTGAGCTACTTCCGCCAAGGCTTGGAAGTCCGAGGCCGGCTCCGCTGAGGCCGGCTCCGCTGAGGCCGGCTCCGCCGAGGCTGGCTCCGCCGAGGCCGGCTCCGCCGAGGCCGGCTCCATTGAGGTTGAGGTCTACTTTTGCAGTCCCAGATGCAGCGTAGGCCAGAGAAGCTATTTATAGAACAATTAGAAAAAAAATTTAAGAAACTTTATATATTTTTTGTCTGTTGTCAAAACTTCCTAAAATACAATGCTGATACTTGAAATTCAGGTTTTGACATGAACCGACCTGCTTTGAGAAAATTCATGGTGGGAAATCACAAGTTCGGATCGATCGTTAAAATAAAATAACATAGGCGTTTCAGCCTAAACATGGGGTCTTTTTTTTTAAAAAGCACGAAATCTGTCTCAACTTCATTAGGGGGACTTTGTTAAAGAAAGAATCATTTTTGTGAACTAGGCCCGCATGGTGGTGCTGAAACATAAATTTTATTTTTGTTTTAACACTTGGTCGGCACTTGTTATTTCCCACGATATTGTTACTCACGCGGTCTTTTTTTCAGCGAAAATAGCTGTTACAGCATGATGTCTTTTAAGCCTCATTACTTAATAGTTAATATTTTATAACTAGAACTTCATGTAGCTAATCTGATATCTGCAGTATAGGGCCAAGCACTTCCACAATCTTTTACTTAGGTTAAACTCGATTAAACATGCAAGTCATCTACAATCCAGATAGAAATTTAGTCACAGTGGTGCAGCACTTCGATATCACTTTGTACATACAATCTTCAAGTGTACATGCAATCTTCAAGGGTGAAAAACTAACAGCAGCCGACTAAAATGTCGTATCGCACTTACCACATCTTTTTTGTGTAATTCGTTTTCAGCTCCACTAAAATACATGACAATTCAAATGAGATGTCCAAGCTTTGTGCCTTAACTGCAGCGTACGTTGCTGCATCTCTGTTTGCTTTTTTCATACTTGTGTGTTTGTTGAAATGGTTCAACACATACATGAGACACGTGTCATAGTGAGTACTACGTACAGACTAGTTTTCACTGTCTGCAAAATTGTTTACTTTAACTTTTAAAGCAATGGCAGTATATGAGCAGTTTTAGTGAAGTTTTCAGCTAGTGAAACAGTTATCTATCTGAGTAAATATTCCCATCAGCATGATGAGCTCGGATGTTGGTTGCAGAAATACTTCTTCGCATACTAGGTGGTTTGTACCGAGCCTTCCACAAGTTGCACAAGGAGAAAAAAAAGATAGAATACAGAATATAGTGTGCTACTTCGCTCTATACTGTTTTTTTTTTTCACTTCCTTCTGCATGCGCAGCATGTCAAATGCTTGCCTATTGGACCAACAGTAATTGTTGTCCTACCGCTCTTAGAGGAAAACGGTAAAATCTGCCTCACAGGAAAAGTTGGGGCACTTTTTTTTTTATATGTTCATAAAGTAGACTCACAAGAAATTTCTTCAAGTGTGGTGCATGTGTGAATGTGAATCTCCTCAGCCAGAACCAACCACGACGTTGTGAGTTCATTTTCTACGTAGGTTCATCATACCACTAAATTTCTACCTTACAGATTGCTCATGAAGATATGTAGTTTTATAACTTGCACTGTTTTAGGAAAATTTGGTTGAAGCTGTTGTAAGTACTGAATACTGGAATGCATCAATTGTTTGCAACTGTTTTCTGATTGCTTGAGAGCGCTTCTAAGAGCAACAGGTCGGCTGTTATCTTCGCAAGGTTTTTTAGGAGACATATGGAACAATCATTGTAGCATATCAATGAGTACAATTTTTATTATCATGCATATTGGACATTTATTTTTATATTTGGGATAGTTACATAGCAATGAGCTGGGAAAAAAATTAATTCTTTCCTGTACACATAGTAGCATCAGTTCCATAGGTCATTACTACAGGTAATAGAATCTTTTACGTTTGACAAGTATTTATATGCAGTTTTTAACGCAGATATCTATATGTATGATTATGTCAACAAATATATCGTCTGCTAATTCTCTCAGGTGTCTCGCTATTAAATTAACAGTACTTTTAGGATGTAGGCTAAAGTAACAGTAATTAAAGAAATGGGCAAAATAGTGTGTTCGTAAAGTAGTGAAGGTTGCGAAGAACTTAAAATAAAAACTTTTTGCTCGATGGTGTTGGTAGTCAGTTTCGTACAATTGCAAGATCGAGGATACTGAAGTACAAGCTGAAATTAATAATTTCCTAAAAAAAAATATGGCTCGAAAATTCTTACCCGCCGACAAAAGCGCAATGGTGATGAAGGCCCTCATGACTGTGGTGTTCTTTCCGGTGTTTGCCTTTTGCAGAAAAAGTGAAATTTCTGATCCTGCGACCGCTTATATATAGTGGTGAATGGTAGAGTGTGCATGAACATAACAGCAATACTTCCACAAAAAATGAGCTTCTTTTTTTTGTTCAAAGTAGCCACCTACTTCAAATGTATGTAAAGTGCGTGGAATAATGTATGTAAAGTGCGTGGCACGGGGGGGGGGGGAAATGTAGATTTCCATTATTATTTTTTTTTACAATGGTTGGCATGTCATGTGCCTGCGAAAGCGGCCGCAGGGACGCCTCCAAATTCGAAGAAAGCGCGAATTCTCTGTGCATATGGAAATTGCTTCGACGTGGGTGAACAAATGAATATAAGAATGCCTAAAAAAATGGACAAATTGAAGCATGTGCAGAGGTAGATAAACAATGCCTTTCTTTTTTGACCAATGCATCAAATGTGCCTACGTGCGTGCAACAGCCTAGATAGACATAGGCACAATGCCTTTTTTTTTATTAGAACATATACGCAGATGTTTCTTTCAGGACTCTAGGCGAAGCACTGCTGAGCAGCGTAATATTTATTGTTTCCTAGCTGTTAGCTTATCGCATCTTTGTCGATTGCAGCTTTCTTGCACGCTGCCCTCTTTCCATTTACCCATGCATCCTGTCCACTCTGCATTTACATTTTTGCATTCCTGGGTGGCAACCCTCAGCAACTGTAGAAAGAGCCTTTATCTCTTTTGGACAATGCATAGTCACGTACTTAGCGTGTGGCACGGCGTTGGCACTTGCAGTAAGGCTTGGAAGTTGTGAGACCTTCCCAGGGTTGACCTTTTTGACCTTCTGCATGCTTCCAGCACGCCAAACATAGCCTATTGCCTCAAGGCTTGTTGTTGGAAGTTGGCGATACCTGCGCCAGGGTGACAACATTTGTTTTTAGGAAAAGAAGTTGTTCAAACACTTTGCATTTCTTTTCTATAACATAACCAGCGCATGTCAGCGGTCTATTTCTGTAGTACCAATTGAATGTATTTTTGACTTGGAGCTAGCACACTACCATAACGAATTTCGACAAGATTTCCACAATTTTCAATTCCTTATATAGAATTGAGTAACAGAGTCAAAAACTTTTGCATGGTGATTTATATAGTGACGCTCCATTCTAAAATGGCTTATTGCGGTTACCTCCAATTTGGTATGGCCTAAGCTTGTTCTTATGGCTGTTTTACCTCAGCGCAATCAAAATGCTCGACAGTGCAATAAAAGTTGCATATATCAAACCCACAAAGAATTAAGATTAGTTCGATATACCAAATAATTTGGCTGACAACTTTTTGTGAAATTATAGCATTTTTTTTTAGGAATTTCAGTATGCCATACGGCTTCACAGCAGTTTACACTATCGTAATAAACATCCTTCACAGAAATATACTTTTTTTTTAGGTTTGTCGTTAGGAATGTGGGGTAATATGCAGAGGCCGATTACACGTGAGAAAATATGACATCCATGAGTATAGTGCCTTGAAGTCTTCGTATGCAGCTGTGCGTACTCGTCTGGACCAAAAGCATGCACTCTGCCTTGGCCCTTATGTCGGCCTCGTTTTCCAATACTATGCTCAGTGTGTTTCTTGGGATGTCATATACAGCTACGATGTAAGGCTTCTGTTTTCCACATTTGACTGTACTGGTTATTTCGAGCTTTGTGGAAGACAGCTAATTTTTCAGCTTCGTAATATTTATCTTGTTAACAAATCAAGAGAAGAGAATGACGAACCAGCACAATGGACTGACCACGCTACAACGAAGCATTGCGGGGGGAAATGCGCAATGGCAAGCGGTAATTTCTACGTGTCCGCACGTTGCCCTCCTAATGCCACCACTTGCTCTAAAAAAATTCTTGTGAAAAAATCCCTTTTCTTCGAAAAAAAAAAAAGCCAGAAGTTTGTAAAGCAAAGCGAACTTTTTATGCATTTCATGTTGCCTGATAGTCAATATATCAAGTGTTCAATTTTTGTTAGATGTAGCCACAGTACTGTGCATTCATTTCCAAGCATTGCTGTATTCAAAAATTGTTTGTTATAATGAATAATTTAGTTTACCCGAGCTCAGTATAGTCGGGTTTAACTGTATGTGCAAGCACTTGCGATGTGGCAGGACTCGTCCTCTGGCTATTTGGTGCTTGCTAATAATCATAGTGTATTGCAAGGACACCCAACAAAGACACAGGAATGTTGTTTGTTATTGTGTTCTTGCTATGTTTCTTTGCACTACACCGTGATTATTAGCATTCACTCACAATGTGTATTTTTGATTGCCTTTGGCTTCAAGTTCAATCTACTTCAACATGTAGACATATTGCTAGCAGTCAAAAAGAAATGGTTGAGTAAGACTTCTTGCTGTGTGATTTAGTTGACATGAAAGGGGTACATGTTAGCTCGAACTAAGAAAGAACACCATGCTTGCGCAGAACACGTAGCCCAGTCACAGGGAAACCTGGAAGAGCGGCCTGTTTAAAGCCCATTGAAAACTCTCTTTGTGCAACTAATACAGGTACACATGTGAGGTGTCCACTACGCGATAAATCATTGTTTTTGCAAAGTAGGGAAGCACCATCGATGCCATTCTTCATATTTCTGCAGACAAACGAGATGCCCGCGACACATCTGTAAGGCATTATGTGCAGTTTGTTAATCCTGCATGTGGCTCATGATTATAAAGAATTATGACTGAGCATCTTGTAGTGGGTGGGAAGCTTTAAGCCTCACACTCATTGTGCAATCAGCTTTCTGTGACACCTGGTCGTTATTTTACTATTCGCAATACTATTCACCTATGCCAGGTTGTATATGTTAACGCAATTCCTTGCCTGATATGATGCCTGTATGTGGTCTTTTTGCAAAGAAACCTGAAGCACTGTCTTGACTCAGTGGTAAAGAATACTTGACTACCACACAGGGGGCCTGGGTTCAATCCAATCAGGAATATTTTTTTCTAACTTCGTACTTTCTCATTTCACGGCATAGCAGTTATAGACACTGACAGCAGTGGACAGCTGCAGCACTAGTGCATTCTCATAACAGCTTTCGCTGCAATTAAAAAAAAGCAGTTTGTACTATCTTAACAAAATCTGGTATGTGTAACTTTATTTAGGAATGGTATTTTCCAACTCTGCCATTTTCCGGTTTCGCAGCTTCGATGGCACGCGGGACCTGTCATCGGTGGAGTGCTACGACCCCGTGCGCAACACGTGGTCCTTGCTCCCGGGATTGGGCAGCCGACGCAGCTGCCTGGGAGTGGGAGCCCTGCGTGGCCTCATCTATGTGGCTGGTGGCTACGACGGGACCTCTTGCTTGAGCAGTGTCGAACAGTTTGACCCGCTCGTCGGTGCCTGGACCTCTGTGGCTGCCATGGAGTACCGTCGCCGATACTGCCGCCTTGCTGTCCTTGGTGGGTCAGCTATTCATACACGAACTGTTTCATTCATTCATTCATTAATTTATTGAATTCACTCATACCCGATGCATTCATAAAAAACTAGAGCTAAAATAAAGAAAAAAGCACGAGCACATGACCAAACACAGGACTAGGACTGACAAATAGGTAATTCCAGCAAGGAACACGGGCTGGCAAACACAAGCAACACTGGTGAACGAGATTGCTTATTTAAACCAATACTTTTCTATATTAATTGAACTCTAATATAACAGCCAGAAACTTATTGTATAAGACTAAAGATTTCAAATGTTCATTGTATGGTGAAGATAGTGTACTTTGGCACGTTGGTGTGAACGAAAAAAAGGTGCTATATCCGGAGCTCCAAGATTACAAGTACGTCTGTCCTTAGCAATTTTTGTGCAGCTTCAGTCGCCAAAGCCAGATGTATGGCTAGTGACGTCTTACAAGTACTCCAGCTATTCTGTGTGGTAACGTTACTGGAACAGTTGCAAGTGCAGGGGCTGTAGCACAGGAATTAGTGGAAAACTGAAATCATGTCTATGGCTGATGAAACTGAAAATGTCTTTTGTTAAGATTGGTACATTTTTCATTGAAGTTGCGCCAGTCACAATTCGTCACTTTTCCGTCAGTAAAGACTGAACCTGCAACCTACAGATAATGTATCCGATGCACTACCAATTGGGCTGGGGTGGCAGTTACTTTCGTGTACACTTTATAGGGCATTTCTGCGTATGTCACCCTGGTGAGTGTTAGCTAGCTGGCGTGACGCAGCATATGATCTTTTGTACGAGCTGGCAGCTTTCTCACTGAACCCTCGCTTACTACCTAAAGGCATCAAGTGGGCTGGAAGGGGACCCTCGCTATGAACAAAAAAAGAAAAAAGTGGATCAAAGGCTCATTGCATTGTTAGGCATGACTCAATGAAATTAAAACCCAGTGAAGCCAAGGAAGGTATAGAGGATAATATATTGGTCATCGTTAATGTTCAATTCATCACATATGTCAGAACTAGTGATATCAAAAGCCAAGAGCTGTCGTCCTTGAGCAGTAAAAGCAAACCACCATGCTTTGGCTTGCGTACATGATCATGGGCACTATTGCTTTTTCCAAGGAGTAAGATTGATAGTGTCGGCCATTGGCTTTACCACCACAGTGCCACAAAACATGGTGAGCGAGAAATGAATGCGAAAGTATATGTGAAGGAAACAAGTTGGGCAGGGTTGTGGTCCACTATTTCTGTTTCTGCAGAGCAGCTTTTATTGCTCCACATAAGTTCAAAGTAGATTTTATATCTCTAATTAAAAAAAAGAAAGGCAGCTTGTGCCCTCTCCAAGTCATTCAAACACTCTTGCACCAAACAGGGCAGAGCAATAAACAGATCAAAAAGGCCATGTGGTTTTCATGTCATTTTATGAAGTGTATGAAGATCCACAAACCAAGCTCATTCTTACCTTGAGTTTTCCTTATCGGTTTTAAGCCTGTGTTGCGCATGGTGAGCAAAGTAGGCCAGTATGTATGAACCAATATTATTCTTTTCTTTTAGCCTGTTATCATTTTTGAGCCCTTATAACACATGTAGAGAATACAGAGACTTGAGAAAAAGGTAGGGTAAAGACAAAGTTGGTTTGTAAATACGGGTCTTAGAGGCGCCATATGGAATTATTGTAATGCATACGGAACATATCAGTCAGGTGTGCCTATTCGTCCATTGGCGATCTGTGCTCCCTTCAGAGGACTGCCTGTACGCCGTTGGAGGTCACGACGGGGCCAACTACCAGTCGTCCGTGGAGCGTCTGGACCCGCGGGAGGGCCGCTGGCGGCTGCTGCCGTCGATGCACAGCCGGCGCAACAGCTGCGGCGTGGCCGTCCTCGATCGGTCCCTCTACGCCGTCGGTGGGAACGACGGCAGCCTCTGCCTCAGCAGCGCCGAGCGCTTCGACCTGACCGCCAACATGTGGGACCACGTCGGCTCCATGCACTCGCGCAGGCAAGTGGAGCACCCTTGCTTTTTGCGTACTTGCTTTATGTCTTCAATGATTTTTCATGAAAGGAAACCTTAATTTAATCTTGACGAGATGAATGTTGCCTCTAGACTTACATTATCGGTCACGGTGGTCACATTTCGATAGACGCGAAGTGGTAGAGGCCCGTGTACTGTGCTATGTCAGGGCATATTAGAGAACACAAGATGGTCTAAATTGCCAGAGCCCTTCACCACGTCATCTCTCATAATCATATCATGGTTCTGGATTTTTCAACCCTAGATATTATCATTACTATTATTAAAATAGACTCAAATGAAAATCTGTTAAGCGAAACTGCTGCCTAAATAGAACAAATGCTTCCGACAAGATTGGTCTCCTTCTTGTATTGTGCCCCCATGGTCATTTCTCAGCAAGCAGAAGTCCTGATAAATAGAACATATTTTCCTGCTCTCTTCAGGTTACGTTTAATGAGAGTCTACCATACTTGCATTATGCACACAGGGTTGAGAACTTCTTAAAACTAATGATAGAATGAAAAGTGAAACCTTTCCTTTGGATGGTTGTGTGCCCCTCAAAACAGTGCACCAACAACATTGATGCAACATTGCATATTTTGCATTGTTTTTGCTGGCTGCAGACCTTCTTGAGGAGGAAAAAGCATTGACAAAGTTGGCACACAAAGTGTCACCCAGCATCTACATAGTAATGCTGTGAAATTTTTAATGATTACTTTCACTTTTAAGGTAAATAGATTTTGACTTAAGGCCCTTGCTTGGACTTGTCTACATTTTGTTTATAAAGTTTTATTATTTGCATTGTTGTAGATTCATTCAGTAAATGCGAAATGCCAAACGCTCAGCTTAGGTCCTTAGGGAGTGGTAAAGGTCTGTATGGGAAGGGTATTAAAACTGAGTCAAAAGAAAAAAATATTCCATTCTGCAAATAAAGTATCATGATTTCATCTCTTTCTGACCAGCTCGTTAGATTAGTGTACTATAGTATGTAATGAGAATTTGCAATAAACACCTATCTGCTACGGTGAGTTCTTACCAACTAGACCAATTTAACTGTCTTTTATATGTTCTTAAGAGAGGTTAGGTGCAAATTGAATTTCAGGCATGTGTAGGAGCTGTAATATGACTTTACATTTATTTTTCTACTTCAAAGCCATTGAAATGGACGAAGTTTATATTTCTTTGAAGCTTCTTAACAATGGGAAGTTACTGAATAACTCTACGGTTTGTTATGTTAAGGCAGTTTTCTTGTGGCATGTTCATTACTTTGATAATTTGATCTTGTAAATAATTCACTTAGTTTTGTTGCTTCTTTCAAGTTATGCCGGCTGCCAGCTTTTATGGATAGATAACAGAACCTTAATCATTCGTTATTGGTAGGTGCAGCTATTCAAAGCGCGATTTCCCCCTAACGTTTTTTTTTTTCATTTTTTGCTTTTATTCATCGCATATATAACTTGCCTAACTCAAGGGTCCACTTCCCACCTCCTTGATACAGTTCCTCAAATGATAAGCTTGATAAGCTAAAAATGAAAGCAAATTGCTGATTCGAACAGCCACCCAATCTTAAATAGTCGAGAGTCGTCCTGATAGAATGCGGTCTCGTTCAGCGCAGAACGACACACGAGGTGGTCCAAGCCGACGGCTACCTCTACGCCGTCGGCGGCAACGACGGCAGCTCAAGCCTCAACACTGTTGAGCGCTACGACCCCCGGCACAACAAGTGGATGCTCGTCACTGCCATGATGCTTCGACGAAGCAGCGTCGGCGCTGCAGTACTGGAGTGTCCCGTGCTAGAACGTGCAAACTCTACGTCATTCGCCACGGTCATTGGCACCTCCTCCGAGCCGTGAGGCTAGCGCTGCCAGCCTTTCCTGTGCTTGGCCCAAGACTTTTTTCAGCATCATTTTATGCTGCTGTCTTGGGAGCACTTGGTGCGAAGAGACTGTAGGGTCTTGGCGGTGCTCTCGCCGTCAGCAAAACTTCAAGTCGGCATTCTCACATTTTGTGCACTGCTTTTTCAAGCCCACATTGGTGCAACAGTGAGATCAGATAAATCTGGTATTCCTTAATGGAACAGCGGAGTTTCTCAAATTGGGTGCTACGAACATTCACATTACTTCCAACATTGGAAGTGCGTTAGGTTGCACTTCGCTATAGGACACTGTTTCCCCCAACACCTTCACACCTTAGTGATGCCCAGTTGACCCAAGAGTAACTGCTGCATCCGTATTTTTCTTCTCTGACAAATAACTGCCTTGTGAGATGTTCTGACACAATCTAGGTGTGAAATCCACAGTGATTCTAGCCTTTCAGAAGCAACCTGCTCCTAGGTTGAAGAGTGATTTGAGAGCGGTTTCAAGCACATTCCATGATCATCCGCTGTCACTCATCTATTTGTTAGACAGGCGTGTCTTGCGCATGCAATGTGTACAGAGTGATATTGTTTTGTAGGAATGCACGAACTGTGGACCATCCCCATTGTCTCTCTCTCAAAGCAATTTCATGTGAATCAGTTCTGGCAAGTGGGGAAGAAAACAAGAAGCGGCATATTTAATGGCTGCCTGATGTTTATCTTAGTTTGAAAAGGCTTTCCTTTCACTTAGTGGTCAAGAATAGATGCTAATCATTTCTGAGAGCACGGGAGTACGCTACGCATGATACCGGTGAGCTGTTGAATCACGTTTACTAATGTCTTTGATCGAACTAGCTTCATTACCTGATAGTGTGATCAGTGAGACGTATGTTTCTTATTTCAAAGCTAGCTTATACTAAACTTACGTAATGCCTCATGTTTTTACCTTTTCTTTATTTCTTCTCTAAGCTGTGTTCAAATACTGATTGTGCTTGTTACGAGCAGGAACACCTGCTAATTTATTGAATAAATTAATAGCCTGTACTACAATTTTCCTATTCAAGTTTATTGATTCAAATCTTCACATTCTTTGATTTCTCGTTCTAGTCTTTATACACTTTACGTTTGTAATTTAGGGTGCAAGTTTAAAGCTTGATTATGACAATACTGTTTCGTTAGGCATCCTCTTACTTGGTATTGTTAGTAAATTGTTTCAATGACTAGAAGTGCTTGAATGTTGGCTTAATTACCAGATTGGTGCTTTCAAGCCTACGCCCATTAGTACTGTGTTGAACAATTTGAGCATTTGCTGGCATTTAAGATGACGGTTGTACTGTTTGCTGCATGCGCGTCCCATTAGTACATTAACATAAGTGTGTTCATGTACCTTACTTTTGTCTTTTCTGCCACAAGGGGATTGTTTCACCGAGTTGGCACAACTGTCACTCAATTATATGCCGTGATCAGGTTAAAAAGATGCGTGTGAGGTCATGAGGTTTAGTGTGAATGAATGGCAGAAAGTTCTTTAGCGTAAACAGGCCAATAATAGTCAGGAGGCACTTTGCCTATGGGTTACTGGTAGATGGTAGAATGTTCTTTCATTCTTTTCACATTTTCAATGCTAAATAAATGCGGCATAACAACTTATATTGCTTAGTCTGTTAAGATTCTCCATAAGACACTTCGCATTTGCCTAGCTTGTTGCAGAGCCGTAGAGGTTTATTTGCTATTGGGGTAAATTTTTTTTTACTTTGGCACCTCATTATACACATTAGCCTTACAGCACAACTGGGCTGCATTGTTTATATCCCTCACACCCTTATATCCACAGAGAGGAGAATAAGGAAAATCTCAACGAGGCTGTGCGAATGGTACATTCATAATCCTGTAACAGACTTCTGCTCCATAGATGCGGTGGTGTGTGTTGCCTAGTGCAGTACTATTCTCGGCTGATCGCCTCTGAGCACACTATCACTTTCTGTGACGTTTTCTGTGGCATTACGTGTTACTCAGCGACAGGCCTCCAATGCCACAGTGACAGCCGATGCCATGACTGCATTCAGTGTTGCATCAGCATCCTGTGCCATATTGTCATTCAACAATGTGTTGGCAAGCTTGGCACAGTTCCAGAAATTTCGTCGACCGCACGTGTTGGTGCACCTGGTGCCTTGGCACACACAGTCTCTTAAATGTAAGCGTATCTTGAACGGTCGTCAAGTCTCAACTATGCTACCACCCTTGTACTTTTTGCCACCCAACAAGTTATGTACAGCACATGCTTATTTTTGTTATCAACACATCTTGTTTTTAAACTTTGCGATATTTGCTGTTACATTCCATAGTTCCTTCAGTTCGCCGCGCAAACACCCTAAAATAAGCTCGCCTTTGATAACCGGTGCACAGCTTTACTTTGTCGTCGTGTTGCAGCATTAAGCAGTGAGCATTACACTCTGTTAAGGATTTTGTTCTTCATGATGGAGTGATGAAGATCATCTATGCACTTTTCTGGTCACTGTTCCTTACTATGTCATCGTGCTGATCATCTTGTCAACTGCTGTAGACGCCTTAGCTTTTCAGAAGTGAGCGAGAATAGATCTATCTGGCCTCCTTAAATGATCTATTTGCATATCGTTTTGGGAATAGCAGGCCTAACATGGGTTAGTCATCCATTAGGATTCAGAAGCATTGATAGCTAGATTGTGATGGGGTCTTATGATGTCGATAAAACCATGTCACTTTAGTCTAAGGGTTGAGCATTGCAATGGAGGGTAGAGAAAGAATTGACAAAGGAAAGTTGAGAGATGCTAAAGCATCTTGAAATTGCAGCACTCGTATAAGACGAACATGAGCCCACATCTGCATTTTTGCAGGAATTGTATAGTATGTATTGCTCGTTGCCATCTTTACTGCATCTTTCATCCCATTAAAAAAACAATAGCTCATTATCATCAGTCATTAGCAAGTATCTTTCATCTCCAGGATTTTCACAAATTACTGAAGCAGAGAGCGCATTATTTAACGGTGGTATTAGTATAGCCAGAGCAAGCTATCAAAACTTGCATGACACAAATAATTCAAGCACAGTATTACGCAAATGTACCGAGAATATAACGGCAGTGTCACCACTGCCATGCCTCCGACAACACGTACAAACTTTATAATTAGTATTTGTGATAACACTCCTGTCGATGAAGACTGTGTTCAGTGCATAAGTGCAGATATTCCCGTGTTCCAAATTCATTATGGGCGTGAATCGCATAAACATCACTAATGATGTTTGGAAGATGTACGCTCGTAGCTGCAGTTTGAACGCAGTGAATTGGGGCACTGGTTTTACTCGCACCATTATGGCCACTGGGCAGCATGAAATGTTTGGCCAGTTTATCCCTGCTTTTTCTGCAGTAAGCTCTTTTCATCGTCTTTGGCATTTCTCGGTCAAGATATAAGAACAACGCGAAGCCCTACAGTTCAGTTACGGGAAAATGCACCTGCATTAATTGCAGCCACATAATTTGGCACAGCTAGATATTTAGAGCCTATTTTTTTTTCAACCCAGAATCGCCCCATTTCTCGTCACTTCAGCACCAAATGAAGTTGCACTGATTGTATCGAGCACAGCTTATGACAGCAGCTGAGACAGTTGTAACCATTTTTTTTTTGTCTTCCAGCAGCGTGTGGCCAGAGTGACTTGTGTGACCTTCGTGTTTATGATCAGTAGACTCACCACTGCTCCCGCTGTGCCTGAGGAGAAACGATGATGACGACTTAATATCAAATCTGTGAGCAGTGAACGTGTAGTCCCAGGAGCATGAAAAAATGTCCTCTCGTGAAGCTTTCGTCCATGTGACTGTGTGGCAGGACCATTTTTTTTTTGCTCGTGGTGTGAAAGGTGCCGTTGATTGTTGCAAGAAAAGGGCTTTTAGACGAAAGATTTCCAGTTTGTGTCTAGCTGGTGTGAGTATGCAGAGCGCTAAATGAAATGGTGATGTAATGGCAGAGTCACTGGTACAAGCAAAGAGATAGATAGGGAGGAGGATGCAGAATCTTTGCGTGTAGGCCATCACTTTTGCTTTTTGTGCTGTTGTGCCAGTCTCATTAGGAAGGTCTTTAATGACCAGTTCTGCCAGTTTTGCAAAATGTTCTGCTAAAACATTTGAAACTTGTAGTACTTCACTGAAGGTTGCACAAGTAAGTAAAAAGTTGTCTGAAGGAAATCTTGTCTAAAAATTGAGACTGCTACTTCTAGTAAACCTTAGCAAGTGTGATAATGCTTTGGCAGCAGCACAAAAGGTAGCCGAGGAGGTGGGCAAACGGATAAGGTAGCACAAGCTGTCTCCACTTGCTTGTCGCGTTCGATTTCTTCAATAATTCCGCAGAGCATTATGGACTTGCACCAAGTCTGAAAGTAAATTAAAAAAAGCTGAAAGTAATTAAACGTGACATATAAGATTTATATCAGTGCCCGATTTCTCTGTGTCACTAACATCAAAATTATTTACATACATTTTATAAAAAATGCACATGTTTTGAAGATTATGCTCCACTAGTTTGGTGTTAATATGTTTTACTGGAGAGAGGCACTGTTTATTAAATGGTTCACTGCTAAACACTGTTGCTACCTCTACTTCCAAATTCTCTACTGGAGCGGGATCTGCACTCTGCTGGAACCTAGTACTAGTGGATACCTTCGTAAGCCTAATGAATATTCCCAAAAATTATTCTTCATGGGAATCAACTTGAAGTTTGTGTACAATAATCTGGTACTATTGGGTAGATACGCATCACTACCATTGAATAGCTCGTAAATTGGCTGGATCTAGCATTAACATTGGAAAAAGTTGGTGCTGCTGGCAGGAGTCGGTTCACCTGTCACCTGTATCAAAGGATGTATGTGCAGACTTGAAAAATCGCTGGAACAAGGAAAAAGAAAATTGGCTAATGTTTATCGTGAGCATTCATTATCTTGTTAGCATCTTGTTGAACTTTTGTTCTGCTTTTTATCTTTCTAGAATGCTTACTTGTTGCACATTTCAACCTACTTCTTTTATCTGTGAAAGTATGTATTTCTGGCAGAGCGCTCAGCTTGTTCTTAATTCTGCGTGGAGATGATTGTGCCTGTGGTGAAGTGCACAGATAAAACTAATTCCCCCTTCAGTTTTGCCTATCTCTTTTATTTTATATAAAAGTCTTTCAACTACATTGAATACACTGATGCACAAATAACTGCCCCAAACGGCCTCGGCAAAGAACATCTATCGCGTGCCACACGCACAGCAAGAGTGGGTGGCAAAACTTGCCACTTTTCATTAGTGCAGCAAACATCTACAGAGTTAGCATTGTGCTCTGCTTTGGTGCCTTGTACAGCCTTCTCAGCTGGCATGTTTATGTGCACGTGCTGCGTAATGTGGCCATCGCAACTTCAGTGCAACTTATTCATCTCCTGTGCCGAATCCCTCGTGTAAGGGCTCCTCACTCGTTTGCTATAAATACCGCATGTCTACTGTCTGCTACTACCCAAGTAGCAGCGAATATTTGAGCATTCAGTTTCCGCTTTAATTAAAACTAGCCAGCACGAAAGCTGCCTCTTGTGGCCGACATACAATAACCTAGTCCCAGAGTTCTGGTGATGAGACTACTACTTAAATTCCCTGCTACCTTGGGTACTCTAGGGTGTTACTTGGCAATCTGCCTCGATTTCGCAAGGTGAGGACAGTGTCGTCTCTCAATCGAAGTAGTAGCCGTGCTAAGGTAGCGTTCTTTGGGTGTGAGTGATCACTGACCAACAACATTTCATGGTGCTCGGCTCTCTGTGCAGACGCCTCTGGCAGAAGTGTGCGGGGATGTCATACACCTACACTGCCAGCTTCGCAAATCTTTTTTTTAGATGGAGTAAAAACATGTGCACGACTGGTGATTCTGCCATAGTCCTGTGCATTTCAGGCTAGCCCCAAAGTGACCCGTGCTCTTTATACACCGCCTCAGCAATTTCGTGGTCTGCAATATTGGGTTCCTTTGCAGCAGCAAGGTGGAACGAGCCTGACGCTCTTTGTGCATAACTTAGCCAGACAAATATTCAGCCATTTATTTTCTTTCATGCTACGTTTTGGCATTCCCATTTGCATTGCAATAGTGCTGTAACTATTTCCTAACAATGTGGAGTGAGCGTTTTCTAATCTAGTCTCTGGTCCTTAGCCTTGCTACAGTGCTTTGTAGGCTCACTCGTGATGCATGCCTTGAAAGCATGCGGAAGTGACGGTTGTGAGTAAATTTTTTTTTACTACTTTCCAGTGACCTTGCGAAGCAATCGTTTTATACGTATGGCGTGTTAGTCGTGTATTGCCAGTGTAATGTGTTGTGTATGTATGAAAAATGGTATGTGATTATGCCCGCTGTAATGTTTCGAGCAATGTTTAGGGAAAAGAAATCTGTTTTGGCATGACTATTTCTTTTCCTTTGTGATTTACTCTTGTGCTGTTACTCACCAACTATATATTCAGTGCACGCATTGCACGTCTAGTCACACTCGTCGGATGCCAGGTTTGCTAGCCTTCCATTGAGCAAGTGCACCACTCTGTGCCCTCTTGCATAAATTCTTGTAGTAGTGATCATGTGCGCTGATGCTTTTTTGCTTTAAAGGTGCTGTACATGCTTCACATGTAAAGCACTGTATATTCTTTTCCTTTTTGCTTGGAGCTTGACACCGTTTTGCATTAGCATGGCAAGAAAAGTTAGCTTACGCTAAATAATGCACAGCAGCCTCAAAGTTAAGTGTCGATGGAACCTCTTACCATTGTTTTCTTTTTTATTGAGTTCCAATGCTTCAAAATCATTTCCAAACAATGGATGCTTTATTTTCTCAGCTCTGAGGTCTACTTAGGACATGTACTTCTGCATACAGTTTCTTTGATCGTTTGGGATTATATGTATGAAGCATTTTGTCATGTACTCTAAAACTGCACGTATCTAGTGAAGGAGCCTGTTGCAAGTTGGGAAACGTTTTGTTGGACTTTCATGTTTAAACGTTTTTCATCTAGTACCTCATTTATGTCAACACCTTTAGCAGGCTTATTTTCTTGGTTTGTGTGCCAGGCACCTGTAATGATAAAGATTTCCCTGTGGCTTTCTGGTATATGGCACATTGCTTGCATGTTCTTCTCAAACCTGTTTTTGAGTTGATATTCAGTTCGGTTAATGTTCGTTATTGATCCTAGGGGCTGCGATAGAGTTATAGAACACTCCCCCCACCCCTCCAACATACTCTGTTTTTGACTGTGTAGAATATAGTACGTGTCTTTGAAATATGGCTGGGAAAAGAGGCAATCTATGCTTTGTCGCATTTGCTTGACAGTTGATGTCCTTGAGGCACATGGCTTTGAGAGCGTGCACAAAGTATGTGTGTTGTGTGTCATATGATGTGCTTATTCTACGTCATGGCGTTGTGAAGCGAATTGTAGTGTGTTGTCTGTGAACTCTATTATGTGGTAGAGATTTGTTGGAACCATCAACTGCACAGGTGTGCTGATGCGTTTGTGTAGTGAGAAACTGAAGAGTATGAAAGAGTAGTCTTTCTTTTTGCATACCTTGAACAGATGTGCAAACTTGTGGCGTAGTGCTCATGGATGCTTTTTTTTTCTTCTTTATTTGTGTCACAACACATGTAAGTGTGATGGTGACACAAAAGGACTTTCTATGGAGTCCTTGAGACAAATTTTGGAGCTGCTGCTTGTGATGCAGAGATTTAGAACAGTGCACCATATGTCCTTACTGTCCTTTCAACGCCTGTGATTTCCGCTCCAGTTCGATTCTTAGCTGCTGTGGTGGCTACAATTAGAGTGTGCCAAGACTCGTAAGTGTTCTTGCACTGTGTGCTTTCGGTGCACGCTGCAAAAGATGAAAGGAAAGTTAAATATTTCAGATCCCCTCCACAACAACCCTTCTCACAACCGCGGGGTTGTTTGGAGCATTAAACTACACAAATGGCCCTGGTCACCAGCACAGCAGCTTCACAATTTTCAGCGAAGATTGTACTTTGAAAGATGCCCGGTGATTTTGGCCACAGTTCGGTGTGCCCCTCCGTGCATTTACGTGTTGTTGGAATCTGTGCGAAGTGTACTACATGCGGGCGTAATGCAGCATGCAGTGGTGTCTGCTTATTTGCGTGTGTCAATGGGGGCCTACTGAATGTATAGATTGTGTGTGTGGCATTTATGTATGACGTGCGCACGTATGCACTTTTGTCTGTTCTTACAAGCCCCCCCCTCTCCCCCTCCCCTCTCGTTGAAGACCTGCACGTCCTAGAGTGATTCCTGAAAAATCTGAAGCACAGCAGTAAGTCAAAAGCCGCTCAGTATTTACACTGCCTCGGTTGGGTCACTCGAAACTACTGCCATTTTCATTAGCCTAGCCCGAACTGTAAACCAGTTAAACTATCGTACTATTAAGTTAGCTTTCCTACATACGTCACTGCATAAAAATTTAATGCTTTTGAAGGTATAGTGGAGTAGTCTAGCGGTTAGGGCGCTCGGCTGCTGTCCCAAAATCACGGGTTCGATCTCGGCTGCGGCGGACGCATTTTGATGGAGGCAAGTAGGTAGAGGCCCCTGTACTGTGTGATGTCAATACAGAAGTGCTAGATGGTCCCAATTTATGGAGCCCTCTACTGTGGCGTCCCTCATAACAATGTCGGGGTTTTGGCACGTATAACCTCAGATATGAGGTATGGGGAAGAAAAAAATGAGTTGCTCTGCAGAGCTTCCTACATTTGAGAGCTCAACTGAATTGCATTAATGAAAATAGATTCATAGTGGGAGGTTTCCGGACTGTGCAGTGAGAACCTAAACGAGCTCTTGAAGTTCCAACGTTGGCAGGCTTCGTGTAGTCAAGACAATTTGTCTTGCGATCGAAAATCAAAACTACTTGTCCCGATCTTAAGTGACAGTTAAATTTAAACATCCACTGAAGCCCATCTTAGAACAACGTGGTGTTAATAAGTGTAGCTTAACTTTACGTCTATGCAGTTCACATGTGCAAAAAGTACTTGGTCAGCAAGCAATACAAATAACGAATGCTTTGGGCCATTCTTTTGACGAGGCATTGCTTATAACACTCCAAGTGTGAAGCTCTTACTGTGAAAGTTAAGATTCCTTTTTTGTGTGTGTAAAATTTTTTTAATGGTTAATTTAAGTAAATATGTTATCCTTAAGGTTTACTTCAGATATCTAGCCAATACATCCGGGGAAAAAGTTGGAAGCTATTGAAGTCGTTGTTGTAAGTCATTGAAGATTTCGAGTATCGCTTTCATTGACAACTGGTAACGCCAACTGGCAGATAAAACACGAGACATTACTGGCACGATTGCACACTTTTCAAATTGCATAACGGCCACAGCTTTTTGATTACCGGTAAGTGAAGCCAGAAGAACTTTAGCAATTTCAAGCAACAGTTGTACTCATTCATGTTGGTGCAAACTCTTGAAACAGGTACAGCTATAGATTCGAAATGGTCAAAACATCTGCGAGAAATTGAGGTTCGGGTCACATCTGCAGTTCCACCCTGCATTCTGGAAGATGCGGGATTTCCGATTTGTGAATCCCTCTCAACTTTTTTGACCCACACTCCAGTGCATTGAGCTGTCATTAATTACCCTTTGTCTTGCTGGCTTCCATTTAGTTTAGTTCATAGAGTAAATTCCCGAAGGGCGATTGCATCACGTTTGATCGCCGGACAAGGATGCATTTCTTCTCTTCAAAGTGTTTTCTTTTAATTTGTATCATTTTTTTCTGAAGCTTTGAGCGACTTTCGCATAATCTCCTAGCATCATGCCTTTGTCAAAACTCCCTTCACCTCGTAGATTCATGCAGGATTTACGTGTTTGAGCGATGTGCCACTTCGTATAGTAAATTTAAAGTTTAAAAGAAAGAGGGCAGTATTCATAAACCTTTTTACATTTAAGCTTCCTTCATGTGAATCTGCATGCAGCTACACTGCCTAACATTTGCTGTGTACATACCTTGCAACATTTTTGTCACTGATTTCAACTTCTTGCAAACTTTGCTGCAAAGCAGCAACACTAAACAAAATACTATACAGGTACCTTCTTTTTTGTTCTCTGCATTATTTCTAAAGATGCAGAAAACAAAAAGCACATTGAAAACAAAAAAACAGCCCACAAAAAATGCACGTCATTTTGAAGTGCATCTAATTTTCCCACCTTTGTGGCACACACAGATGCAGTGGCGGTAGACATTATGCTTTGCGCGGCACTGTACATTATAATCATCTTGTAGTTGAGATGCCTACAGATATTTCTCAAACTTACGGCCATTTTTCGGTCTTTCTCACACACATTTGCCTCGACTTCATGTGGTCGTTTTTGCAATGTTTGTGAAATACCTTTTGCTGTTCCTCTTTGCTACATTTTTCGCTCTGTGTACCATGTACAAAGGTTGTTTTCTTTTTTTTCTTACCTGGAATGAAATTGTATGATGCCCGGTATTTGTGGAAAAAAAAATCCCCTTTGAGGCAGTGCTGGACACTAGTTCTGCTTCGAGTGAATAAATTTTCCAAGCTGTGGAACACTACCTCAGTGCGTCTGTCGTTATGTCTTTCTATGCAGAAATGTAGCTGGAAACATTTTGGGGGTAAAGTGGAGGCTCTGATCACCGCTTGTGTATGTACACGTGTGTTTGTATGTGGGTTCGAACAACATAAGAATTTGAGGGGGAGGGGCAGCACATTTGAGTTTCTTCCAGGTTTTTTTTTACATTCCTTTCTTTGCATTGCAATATTTAATGAGCAAGACAAAAGGTAGCTTTAGTACTGCGTATGTTGCATCTGCAACAGCGCTGCATGTGCAAGAATGTTGCGTTTTTACGTAGTGCACGGGGCGAAATTCCCGCACATGTGCTCTATATGAAAGCGGTCATTGTTGCATATGCAACACAGAACTACAGTTCGCTAATGTCAAATGGTCATAACTTGCACTAGTTGCAGCAGTGAAAAAGCAGTATAGACCTCTTATAACGTTAGTCACGAAAATTCGCACTCTAAGCGGTACTGCACTATAACCAAAGCAACCTTTTTCGAGGGCCGCAGTCACGTCAAATGTGTTGAGCATGCAGCCTCACGCGTCCTAAGATCGAAGCAAGCGATTTGTGGTGCTTAGAACCATTCAAAGTTCCGAAAGTTAAAAAAAAAAGCGATAAAAAAATTCACCTCGTTGTCAACGAAATGAACATGAAAGGGGGGTGGGGGATCTAACGGAAGAAAACAACATCAGAAAGCAGACCACCTCGATTATGCGCATCACATGGTACGTCAAATCACGATCTTCACGCGCTGAAAGACTCCAATCGTTCACTTCGTGGGCGCGCAACCGATTTCAAGACATCAGCATCGAATCGGGAACCACCGTCCGAGTGCTACATGTGCCACACTCGTTATCCTCTCCCTTCAAGTGCAGCCACTACAAAGAGTTTCGTTGCACGCGACAGTTACTGAAATGCAACTAATGCTGATGTGGCATGGGCCGCCGTTTGGTATGTTGCCGCAGGCAGCTTGTCCAAGACATGAAGATCTGGCGTCGAAAAGATCGCACTCAAGTGGTGGTGGTGGTGGGTGGCTGTCGCTAAGAACGGGACCCTTGCTACTTCTATCCTTGCTGCAGAACTGCTGTTCATGCTGAAGACATCTGCGCTGCTACTCACCTAAGCTTTTTCTCTCCCTTCTCTTTTCTCCCATTCCCCCTTTCCGCAGGCTTTGCGCCGTGCTCCCAACAGGACTGCAGAAATTAGGCGCCTTCTTAAATGCGAAAGCTCTCGTGATAAAGTTGCAAAAACTTCCAAATTTCCGGACTAGGTAGCTGACACAGTGTCTGTAGCAAGCTCAGTAAACGACGATGCTTTTTTCGACAGGAAACTCCTAAGCGTAGTTGATAAGGAAACGATCGTACGTGCCATGTTGTGCCGCACACAGCCGGCAGCAAGCGGCCTAAAATACACTGTAGCTCACTGTACTGTAGCCGCGTTGGCACCGGTGCAAAGGCTTCCTGGGAAATTAACTGCCCTCCTTTACTTGCCAAGCTCGCGCAGCGTGCCACGGTCTTTTCCTTTTCCTCCCTCCGCTTCTCGTTAGTTCACTCCGTGTCCCCTCCTCCTCCACAACGACCTTTCACTCACTCGCCAGCGGCGCACCCAGTGGGCCTCCTTTCAGACGCGCACTTGCTACTGCATTTAGGCACAATTTTCCGGCAGCTGCATTATAACCGGTCTTTCATCTTAAGGGGCTTAACAATAAGCGGTATGCGTATACATGGGCTTCTATGGGAGGGTAAACGGGAGTCGAAAAAGACCGCATTGTAACCGGTCCTACACTATAAAAGGTTATGTTATAAGTGGTCTTCACAGTGTTTTTCCATAACGATGTATCAATCTTCTAGGAACTGTGAAGTTTTTTTAGTCTTCTATGCAATTCAACGTCCCTTCTGCACAAATAAGATGTATATCTAACTGCAAGATATATAGTTAGTGAAATCGTATGTAATTGGGTTGATTGGCTGAAGTACAATTCAAGGAAAGAAATGGTGCAAATGGAGTGTTTATAAGACAGGTATGTGCCACTTGTGGAAGTAAACTGCATGGTTAGGTTGGCATTACCAGCCTGAAAATCTTCATCAGTAATCTTGCCAACTGACTCTACTGCCCCAAGTGGACAGAGGGATGACCACCACCGTAGTTGAGTGGCGAAGCGTCGGACGCACTATTCAAAGGTTGCAAGTTCAGTCCCTGCCGGGGGCAAGTCATATTTTTTGTCTACTTTTCTTTCTTCACATTTACACAACAATTACATTTAGTGACATCCCCTGTGCCTTTCATGGCGTCATTGTCTGTTAGTTCTCATTTATACTGCCCTAAGTGGCACTTTAATTGCTTGTGTTAGTCACATGATATTAGGGACACAAGAGATGAAGAGGAATCAGATTTACAAATCATGCAGGTAATGAAACTGGTGTAATGCGTATCGGATGGAGATCAAGGAAGTGCTTACACTACTCGATATTTTGTTGCAGTCGTGAACAAGAGTGTAGTGGAGACATGCTTGTGAAATAAATGACCTATTATGTGCTACAAATTGTTTTTCTAACAAAAAAAGAAATGAAAGTGTTTCTGGGAGTATAGTGCATTATCGCTGTGTGAACGGCACTTTTAGGTTACGAACGACATGCGTGTTACCAGCGTGACATAGCATTCCTGATAGGAAAGTGGCCTGTGCAGAGTTTTTAAGAAAGGAAACGCATGCAAGCCACATGGCAATTAGTATCATTGGACCGAAAGATACCCTTTTTAATCCATAATTCTTTAGAGAGTGGGAAATCTTACTACTGAATTTATATTTTGGCAAGATAAAACTAGCCGAAATATATTTCAGTGAATTAAGGTGTAAATTTTGTTATAGTTGAACCTATCTCGCCTCTGCAACAATGATGTAAACAAACAATGCAGGATTCAGGTGGCAATTCCTTCATAAATGCGATGGAGTCTTGTACTTCTACAAGACTCCATTGTAAATTTTTTTATGGTTAAACCTATCTCGCCTCTGCAACAATGATCAAAACGAACAAGCAGGATTCAGGTGGCATTTCCTCCATGAATGCAATGGAGTGCTGCACTGCTAGGTGGTATGGAGTTAATGGATTGCTAAAGCAGTTCCCTAAGGTATATACAGTAACTTGAGTGCAGTTACCAGTTATCTACCCAGATTATCTAAAACTATTTAATTCTTTTTCACGAGTCATAGTGTATTATAGCCGCTTATAAATGGTGTCGCAAATGAACATCACTCACCCAGGAGTTCTTTTTTTCTAATTGATAGAGGCACATAATTAGCCACAACTATCGCAGCCACTGAATACACATCGTGCATACATCGTTAACTGAATCGCAGCATATCCACGGAGTGAATGTCAGTCTGTCCGTGCTTCCATCCATCCATTCGTTCTTGCTTTCGTCTGTACGTCCGTTCTTCCATTCGTCTGTTCGTGTGTCTGTCAGTCTGTATGTCTTTCCGTGCATTCATCTATCTAGTGAACACTCTAAGTACCGCCATCTCACATCTTTTCATCATGTATTTATCCTATACAAGTATTGCCATCCAGCGGACTTTTTAAGGACCGCTCTGTCGGGTATCTGCCACCGGTGGTTACGCACAACAACGGAAGATGCACAAGCCATGCCATAAGGAGCTTTATTCCTAAAAATAAAGGCTAATTACTTATCTGTATCTACAGTGTATCTACACTCACTCCGATAGCAACAATTGACAAATGGGTACGGACGGCACCGCTTTTTCCTCACCACGAAAAACTTAATGCTTTCACAGTGAATGTTTGTGCACAACTTGATACCAGACCCAATTACACGACCCTTTGTAACTAACGAATGAGGAGCAACTCAAGGCAATTAGTGTTCATAGTGTTCATTTTTTGTTAACTGAAAGAATGGCTAAGTAGACCAGCATGTAATGATATTCTGCAATCAGAACTGTGTGCAATAAAGGACGTATTCTCAAAGCCTCCTTGAACAAAGGTTGCAGTATTTGGAACTTTCATGAGTCGGTTCATTTCAGGCTGGGATTTGACTTGCGAATTTTTAAAACAGAATAGGTTTGTATTAAATGGACGTATAAAATCTTTTTTTGCTTTCTTGCATGCAGCCCTTCTTCCAAATTATTATGACATGCTGATCAATTTTGCAATTCTCTCACTTCTGCCCCCCCCTCCCAAAAAAGTACATGACATGTTTGATGTTTTAAAAACAATAAACTAGAACATAAGAGATCACATAAATGTACATAACTAAACTCAACAAGCTTCTACAAAATCAATCGAGAATCGGTTTTTAAAGAGTTTTCAAAGAGCAGCATAGCCCTTCAAGGTTGTCCTAAATTTTAACAATCGCAGTGCTAGAAAGATTAACCAGAATGCCAACGACGCATTTGGCACATTTTAAGGTTGTGTATCTTGAGACTGGTGCTTGTTTTAAGATTTCTGTAATGAAGACTTAGCTTCACTACTACTTCTGCAAAATTGTGATTGCGACATGTGCCCTAACATGAGCAATAAAACGTTGGCGAGGTCATTACCTGATAGTGAACATTCTTTTCAACATAGTGTTTCTTTAGTTTTGTTCTGCTTTAGAAACTAGAAACCTAAGTTTATTTTGTTCAATGCAAAAAAGGCCTGGTCAATTTCCTTTGCAAAAAAAGTATAAGCCATTCATACTGTAAAATCCTTATACGAATAAGAATATAAAGAAAAATAAAAACATCAAAACTAAAGCTTCAGTGCAATGAGGTAGTTGACAGCTTTCAAACAAAGCTTTCCTTTTTTTCTTCAAATGAAGGCATACAATGTACAATACATTATACTTAAATTTAAGTTCATCGCCGCCACCAAAACTGCGTGCACTAGTTTTTCAGGGTGTTGCATGCACACAATACTGTGCACGGTGCGTTCAGTATCGCACTGTCCCCGAAGATTGTCTACAAACTTTACAGTATGGCGTCACATAATGACGCCTTTGTCACTGAGCTGATGGTGGGGAAGAAGCACAGCTCACTTTGAACCACTGCCACCGTCAGCATTTCGTTCCAAGTGACGCAAAAGCAGTTCTAGTGCCATGGCCACGGCAGGGTGGGTCGCTCCCCCCGACGGAAGCGGTATGCCGTGGTAGGCCAGAACGGCACCGAGCGATACGGCTGCCCTAGCGACCTGGGCGTACCGGCTCGTGAGGGGGCATGTGCACTGCGGCGGGCACGTTGCGTGTGGCGACGAGTTCTTTCCTGCTCTTAGGATGCCGAGAAGCCTAGAAAGCTCCCGCTGCGCCTCATCCATTTTGTCGCGCTTGGAAGGCTCTCCGAGCTCCGGAGTCAACTCGTCGTCGGATAGTCCGCCATCACTCGAAAACGAAAGTGTGGTTGCCTGAGAAGAAACGGAACAAAGGATGGCATTGCATGAGGGCAAGAGCAGTTGACAGGAAGCATTTCCTCACAATGGGCCACATATCGCAGAGCTTGCCAAGTCTGTTTCACACGCAAAGCATGACTTTTCAGGTTGGTTACCAATTACAGCTCAAGTTTCGTGCTCCTCTTGGTGTACCTTCAACCACATCAGACCCACAGCACCTAACTGGGTGCTTTGTCCCGAATTAAATTTGAAGCAATACGTAAAATAATTGCCCTTAATATTAAGCTCCAAGACATGCACACATGAATGGAAGTGGCTTTAAAGCCATTACTCTCATTAGCTTCTGCAATAGTGACACTTGATTTGGTCTGCTTAAGTGCACTGTTATTTACCACAAAAGGCACCTGAAAAGTGCACCTCAAACGCGAGACCTCGTGATGAAACTATGTGATGTAGCTTCAACATGTGAAGTCTGTCACATTGCTCCAGCAGTTCACGTCCACCATTCCGGCAAACAGACAGTTTTGGCAACAATGAATCTTAGAAGGCAACTGCTTTTTTCTTGTGCATAGAGGGCCTGTCTATTGCATACAACAGTGATATTACACAAAAAATTTGCTTTTCAAGCTTTATAACACCAAACATGCTAAAGGAAACGCACTCAAGGTTATGTTGCTAACAGCCATGGCATCCAAGTTTGCCGAGCAAAGTAAGTAAACAACTAGTCTACAATGTTTACTTATCACAGTACATGCAGCTGCAGCAGTAATTACAATGCCGGAGTTCTGTTTATTATCTAGATTTTGTTTTTAGCAGTTATTAAACAGCCCTTAAGTAGACCCATGCATACATTTAGTTGCTATGTTGTAGGTCCAAGCAAGCCACCTCCAAATTTAGCACCTCGTTATCTTAGATGCCGTGACAAAAGTAACTCTTAGGCATAGTACTCGTGAATTGAAATGCGGCATTTTTTAAAGACAATAGTCTTTCTTGGGATACTTGAATGCAGAAATTTTTGTCTTCCTGCCTGCCACGCAATTCACCCCCCTGGCCAAAGATAAAGCACTTGCCTGAACACCCAGCCATCTTGTACTGTTGGCTGCGTTCATACTTGTGAACGATGTTGATCAAAAAGCATGTATTACACATATCAGAGGTGCAACATCAGTATCAAGTATTAGGTGATGTGTTCCTTTACTGCGAAAGACATAGATAGCAATTCTAAAGACCCTAGCGTTTCTAAGACTGCACTAAAATGCAACACTATGCAAAAAAGAAGGCTGAAACAAGACTCATCTTTTGACGACATCAGCAGCAAAGCATGCAGATAAGCGGCCAGTATTTTTTTAACGTAATATTACACCGACATGACATGAATTGCAGGCGCTGGGAATGAAGGCAAGAGCATTACTTTGGCCTAAATTTTCGCATTTCAATCAGTGAGTACAGTACATACTCAAGGCATGTATTTCTACCTCTGTTCGATCATGGAGACACTTTTCTCCATAATGGCACTGAATCAGCTATTTTCGGAACATGATGATGACACTTACACTCATACTTGAGATGTCACATTTGACACAAAAAACAGCTGGGAGGGGAACATGGAAGCCCTGTGATGAAATAATTCGTAAACAGAGATTGTGTGCTCCAGCCGACGTTTTGACAAGTGGAGCTGTCGTCTAGCTTTGAAGAACACTAGTCCACTCGTTAAAATGCTGGCTCAAGCATACAAACCCTGTTTATGAATTTCTACATTTCAGACAGTGGCTCCTGAATATTTATGCTACCTCAAGTTATGTTGCTGGCTTGTCACAAAGGCTAGCTATGACATGAATCTTTAACCTTTAAAGGTACCAAACTAACTCACATCATCTTGTGCAGCACAGTCATCCATGGCAGTGACATGACATGCGGACACCTGTTCCACAAACCTCTTCAGAAGGGACTCATCCGCACTGTCAAAACCCGATGTCTCATGGGCAGCACCTTGCACAGATTTCCGTTTCTTTTCGTAGCTGGCACTCCAGCGGGTGCTCCTCACGAAATGATCCTCGCTAGCAGGCAATGTTGCATCATTTTTACGTAACGCAGCAGTGTCCGACACTTTTGGTGGCGAGAGGACACTTCTCCCACTTCTTTTCGTACGCTTGGTGCCTTGAGTTGTGCCCTCACTCTCTGCCGTGTTGTACACGGACTCTGTTGAAGAACGTAAGGCATTGGTTATAATGATGCCATCGCCAGTCGATTCTGAGTGTACCAGTTCACCCAAGCGGTCATTGAGATTACCCTGCTGTGCTGCTACACGTCGCTGTTTTCTTCGTGAGAATCTCGAGGACCTCCTTCTATGGGAAGCTCGCTTGCGCGGAGATTCAGTGCACTGCCGCGTCAGTGACGTCACTTGATTCGGACAAAAGCAGAGCGCTCAAGCAACTGCTAAGCTTCGCTTGGGAACCAATGCTTCGTTCCTTTCTCACAGGCGACCGAAAGGACCTGAGCTCGCTGGCACAGGGTGCCTGCTCTTCCGAGGCACTGAGGTTAGTATTCTGCAAATGCTGTGAGGGTCTGGGAGAGCCACTGGAATGTTTAGAAAAGGTTGCGCTGTGGACTTCCTTTTGCGGCGACGATTCGGCACTCTGCTGCTCACCACATTCCAAAACACTCAGCTTGTCAGGGAGATTGGTGCATAATACACTGCGAACATTAGCACTCGTGTACTTTTCCTGTTCAGCGTGATCATCGGTAGGTGTCCCTTGCCGTTTTGCACTTCTGGCCTTCCTCGAAGATGATCGTGGTTTTTGTTTTCGCTTCGCAATGGTCTCCAGTTTTCCGGCGGTTTGCGTACCTTCTCTTATGCCACTGTCTTGTTTACCATGGTGAGGATTGTGTTTGAGCGCGTGAGGTCTTGCCAGGAGACCTTTCACTCTGTGTCCTCAGAGGGGGCAAAAACTTCTCGGGAGCGGCTTCGCTTTTGACGGACTTGCCAGCCCGAGCTTTTCTTCTTCGGTGCCGAGATTCTACTTTCGTGCCTAGAGGGGCTCCCACCAGTGCTTGTATTGGGAGTGCTGAGAAAGCATGGAGATGAAAGCAATAGCGTTTTACGTTTCATTTTGCTTCTTCCACGTTGGCACACAGCTGGTGTGTTGTGCTTCTGCGAAGACGATGCATCACCTTGGCTCTCTGTTTCCAGAACCACTTCAGTTTCTGCGTCCCCCTCGTTTTTTTGTGCTTCACAGCGAGGAGCACGCTGTCGCTTAGCCTCGTCGTCGCTACTGTCTTCCACGATGACTGAAGCGTCGCTCAGCGAATCACGGCGAGGCCAGTCCTGCTTATCGTGTGGCGCGTGTTTATTCCTGGCAAGGAGTTTGCTCGCGTCTGGAGACTCGTACAGGTGTTTCCAGGGGAGTATTTTCTTCAGGTAATGCTCCTTCAACGATTGCCATGAATGAGCACCGGGAACTACGCCGGCCGTAGCCATTTCTTTGTACACCTGGTTGCCACGGACGCGCACGTTGGGCGCCTTCGCCACGTACTTGGCCATCGCAATCTGATCGCCGAGAGTGTACTCACTTCTCGAGCGAACCGAGCGCAGTTTTCGCTCTTTGGTGTCGTCCGCGTTGTCGATTGCCACGAATTCTGGCGCTCTCGGAATTTTGAACTCCTTGAGAGGAAAGAGCTTGTCGCTGCCGCAACAAGCGCGTATGTAATTGGCGGAGAACACATCCTCGGGGCCCTGTGTAGTTCCGATGGAAGAGGGAACCAAGTGAACGGCATTCGGATTCTTGCCCGGCTGCAAGAGAACACCACCTCCATCGAGTATGAGCTGGCGTATCTCTTTTCGCTCCGGGCAGGGCACCATCTCAAAGTACATGGGGCCACCGTCGGCTTTTACGAAGAGCGCTTGTCTGTGCGGTTTACATGCCATGACGTTAGCCTTCGAGTACGTTCACGCTTTCGCGCCTGTTGAATGTAGCAACACTCGCCAACGCGCACCCGACTATGGTACTGGCTACGCTTGGCTTGGCGCACATTGTGTTCTGTGGCTGCGCAGCGGAAACTTATCTCGGGAAGGTGGCCACCAGACGTCACTTACTTCCAAAACATCTCGAGTCTCGCGTTCTCTCGTAGTGGTGCGAGAGTATCCAAAGTTTGATGTGTGTTGTGGTGTAAGTGTATGCCTTGTGTGTTTGTTTATATAAAAGTTTCAGAATGAGCTGTTTTATTCAAGTTTCAGAGGATGAAAGTGAGGAACCCATTGAACTTCCGTGCGAAGACGATGGCACACTGTTACTGACAACGCTGTCCGCTCAGTTCCCGGCCACATGCGGACTCAAATATCGAAACCCGGAGTCAGGAACGATGCGTGGAGTACGTTTGGTCGACGGCCGATTTCACCCGCCAGACAACGGATGGGGCAATGTTGTGTATTACTGTGTTTTCCCTAAAGGTGAGACGACGCGCTGACATCGTCGGCTGCGACGGTGCTTTTCTATCCGCGCTTTGCGTGCCAGGAACACAAGCTCGATTCTTAGGCCTAATGCCCCTCAGCAAGTCTACATTCTGACCAGCCTTTCCTCGCGAAGCGTTTCAGGGACACTCGCCGACGTGCCTTGAGGCATTCGAGTGCGGTCCGCCGTAATCGCTGTTCGATCGTAGCATTTGCCGGAGAGCTTACTGCGCGAGGGGAGCCCACTGGCGCCTGTACTACGTCAGGGTTTGTTTGTAAACGTCGCTACAGTAGCATGCGTAGTGATCCAGCTTCAGGGAGGTAACGATAGGTTGCGTGGTTCGCCGCATCCCGCCGCTATAATTTGCGATGCCTCCACTGGTAGGTGTTCTGTGATGCCTCGTTTCGAAAAAAACGCCCTGGCAAAGCCTTCTTGCCTCATTTGCTAACCCTTTTGCCTCCTCTGTTTACTGGTTTAACGATTCTTGAGGGCGTCTAGGCAGTTGATTTGTATCTCGTGAAGACGAGGAAAAGCCCGTGCGATCGCGGTTGAAAAGTCGTACGCCATCGCGTAGTTGGCGTAGGAAAGGGATCTGAGCCCCGAAGTACTGCATCCAAACAGTTCAGCATCGAAGACTGCAGTCGCCAGGCGGAATCGTTCGAGAAGTAGCGTGGTTTGCCTTTTTTTTTTTTTCTTCCGTATAAAAAAGAAAAAAAAAAGAGCGTCATCATCTTGCCGGGTCGCCGGCGGTCGTCGCCACCAACGGGACCGATTGCTCGTTGGGTGAGGATGTGGTACGAAGGAGAAGGGTCGTCGATTGTGCTTGATGAGAACGCGGAGCCACATTCACTTGGATGCAGAAATTCCTCCGTCTTCGAGCGGACAGATGAAAAAAAAAAAAAAAAAGGTCGAGGCTTATTTGCGCGCTGGACGAAGTTCGGTTTGCGTAGGTTGGTCGCGATTCAAGTGACTCTAGCTTCACGGAAGTTCGGTAATCCAGCTTTCGTGCCCGTGCATTGAGGGTCTGATCGTCCGTTCATCGAAACCACTCTGCTGCACATCTTGCAGGCGCGTTCGCTTATTCTAAGATTTTGACCCTCGCGGCGTAACCACACCCCCCAAACATTCGAGAAACACGCTCGGTGCGCGATGCGTCTGCACATCTCGGTCTAACCGAACGCATCGTGCTTGTTGTTTCTTGATCGCTACCTTGTTTTTTTCCCGATACCGGTGTGTGTTCTTACATAGAGTACTCGCAGATGGAAACGCGAAGTCCAAACGTTTAGTGTAATTACCGGCACTGCGCGGTCACTCGATACAACCTCGTCGTGTCGCGACGAAACTGACCGTCAATAATGTTGGCTCGGATGCAGACGCCACAGAGTCGAACTGAAGACTGCGGAAGTGAAAGAACGTGATCGAATCCGTGAGCACTGTGCTCAGCTATTCTCTCTTTTGGCGGCGGCCCACTTCAAAAACGCGGGAGCGATCGCGCTCAGAAGCGCCTCCGGACGGTCCTGCCGTCTTCCATTGTTTTTAATCCTTTTCGTTATCCGAATGGTGGCGGCGGTTCCCTTGCCTCCATCCTGACACAGTTACACTGCGCAGCCTCCTCCCACACGTTCGTTCAACCCTCCCCGCCACGGCGGCTTCGCAAACAGACCGCGACCGTTCATTACGCTAATCGGCTGGATGCCCCTCTCGCAGTACTTCATTCGTTACTCATTTATGCCCGACTGCGATGGTTCATGTCTGGACTTGGGGGGGAAAACTGAAGTGTTGCTGCCCCCCCCTGCCGGCCCGTATGTTGGTTAGTTTCGCGAACGCGTTCAGCTCGTAATGCGAGGAACCTGTGAAGTCCGCCGCGATCGTGTGGCAGTTACAGCGCTCGGGGGCCGGTCCGGATGGTCGCGGGTTCGATGCCGACTGCGGCGGTCGTACTTTTGGTGCAGGTACTGCGCGATGTTTTTGCAAGTCAAAGGACCCTAAATGGTCAACGTTTTCAGAGCCCTCCACTGCGGTGTTCCTCACAACCACATCATGGTATTGACTTGTGGAACCAGGAGTGTAAAGTTTGGCTGATAGCTGATGTGGTTGGGTTCTGGGGTTTGCACTGTGTTCCACGCAGGCGATCAAGTTGTAGACCATGACTGGAAGGCTTGTCATGGGGCAAGCTGGGTTATCTTGTGCAGTTGTATCGCCACCTTGAGTAGTAGAGCTCAAATTGCTCCTCCTCCCTCTTTTTTTTTATTTTCGCCGTGCTACACTCAACAACCAGAGTTTTTTTTGGGTCAACACAAGTGTAAGCTGACTAGCCCAACAGCAAGTACTTCATTAACCTCCTCAGTCCCAAGAATGCGCTAATGAAAAAAGCTTTTGGAAAACGGTATTATTTGGCTTCCTGCCCTTAAAAACGTAAGTAAAAAAATTATGAACTTGAAAAATTTAACGGTTATCTCAAAATGTGATGGTAACTCACTTGAGTGCTCCTGAATATTTAATGATTACATGCAACGAAATGTATCACACTGAAATGACTTTTATGTTATCTTGAGGGCATCCACAGTTGAAGTAATGTACCATAGGCATTGTCGTTCAGCAACAGTTACGAAAAAAAGCTTTCACTTATGATGAGGACACCACTGGGCACTTATGCAGTACTTAGCCATTTTCGTTCACTTGTTTTCGAATATGACTAGAAGACACTCTGTGCAACTTCTCGGGGCTTAGCGAAAGGCAACTCATGCTTATTGTGGCAAGACAAATTTGGATGCTGGATACCTAATGGTGGTTATCTGTAGCCTTTAAAGCATGGGTACCCTGGAACCGTGGAGACCAAAAGGGGCCCTGCGACACTATTTGAGCATGCATTTTTCATCAGTTCTTCTGGTGCTGTAGGAACATGCCAATATTGTTGCACAAATGGCAACGTGAAAACGGATGCCGTTATAATTTTAATTCACGGGACTAACTACCATGATTTCAGACTACGGCGACACGCATCAGCAATTTTTGTTATGGAACTGACATCATGTCATGTGACATGACGACAAGGATGGTTCGCTTTTTATTGGCTTGACGTGACAAATAGCCAGCAATATTCATACGCTGGTGGCTTGGCCACATGAGTGAATGCTAAAAACAGCAAGAACTTTTTTCACACTTTCTGAGAAAGCAGTCGTTCCTTTTTCTGGATGTTTTATTTTCACAACAATGAACACTACACTTAAGCCTGCAAAGGAGGGTATGGTACGCCAATAACTAAAGGTGGAAATGCATGCCACGTTTTTAGCGAGCCAAAAATGTGACAGGCGGTGGGCGCAGGCGTTGCCATAGAACGCATCTTGCAAGCAAGCCTGAGAATTGACCCCTCCCAAAGTGTGTGTATCCTACACAGTTGGACCGTGGAAGCGTCTGCTACCCGACACACGTGGTTCGTAGCAACCATACTGATGAACGCCGTCAAAAGAGTGGTAGCGAGGTACTGTTAGAAGGCCACCATAAGGTGACATCTCCAATATGTCTTTATGAGACGCGCGCTGTGATTGGAAACGGTCTTTAACGTCAGCAGGCGAGTGAAATGCGAAAGAGAACGTTTCTCATCGTCGTCTGCTCAGAGTTTTGAACTTTGAGGACTCATAACTTCACTTTCCGTGCACCAATTTCCATAACTCTTGTTTCATTCATCTCAATAAACAATGCTACATGCATTCTGGTGCTAAATGAGGCTGTCCCGAAAATGTCGCAGGGCCCCTTCAAGGACAAAAACCTTCAGTACTGGCCCCGTAAAATGTGTCAAGTAGTGCAAAAACCTGCACGAACTTGGGTGAATAAATTCAGGATCTAGGCCAGAATGGTCACACAAGTACTCGGCATGGTAGTTATGTTTTACACCACAGTGCCGTTCCAGTGATTGAAACCACCTCTGAAAAAGACATTATAGGAGGTATTCACTGGGCATTTCCCGCCGGGCGCCAGTCAGTGCGCCGCCATTTGCATGGTTCATCAGCAAATATGGCACACGACAGCCTGATGTTTGGCGGCACTGCGCCTCACTAACTAAACATTATCAAAATAGCACCTTCTGCCGAGAACTTTGGTTGTGGTCTGATGATAATTTTCACGCTTAAGGCCACTAGTATGACTGCCACACAATCGCCTTTTGCGTGTGCAAGGAGTTAAGCGATATAATATTGTGTGGCAGAAGCTTCTGATTTTACCAGTCATCACACCACATGAAGTGAAATGAGTGTGCGTTTGAAAGCGGCCAACCCGTTGATTGCTGAAGGCTCAGCTTGAATTCATCATTATCAGCCACATTATCAACTAAGTTTGCAGCTACTTGCGGTGACCTCAAACTCTGATGATGCTGACAAAATAGTCCTCCAAACGGCTTTCGCAGTCAAGTCGTCCTAGGCAAAGGCGCAAGGGATGCTGTGCCTTTTTCAGCTTGAATTCATTTTCAATAAAGGCAGGTGGTGAAGGAAGACTACTTCATTGACTCACAATATGGTTATATGAGGTTCTTTTAATTACTGACAGGTATCTTGTCACTACGAATAATGAGCTGGTGTCATTGATGTTTGTAGTATTACTAAGCTTTACGCAGGCACAGTAGCGCCTCACTTTTCAGTTGCTTCCCACAAAATCTAGTCAATTATAGCACTTATTAGTGCATGCACCAATTGCGCTGAGCCAGTTACTATTAAATGTGATACAATAAATATGAAGCATGGTTGCCAAGTGTCTGTATTACTAATGCGATGAAGTAAAAAGCACGTTTCACAGAAATTGCGGTGCCGGCTTCGTTGTTTGTGAGCGAAAAAACATTTTGGGCCTGACCGAAAAATTGGAAAAGATGAAAATAAATAAATAAAAATTTCCGCGATTTGTGTGGCAAGTGGGTTTTCTACCACACAGCCGTGCGTCTGCTTGTAAATACAGTATAAAAAGATAACTTCTTCTGCTTCGAAATGCAGTAAATATAACATTGATGCGT